TCACGTCTCCTAGCGGCACGTTTTTTAAATTTTGAAATAAACGTGCGCTGTCACGTTTGTCAGCATTTATAGATGGATTGCCGCGTTTCCCAACTTTTTGGCGCTTAAGAAACCCAGAAAAATCCTGACGAACGCGCACTTCGCGCTATCAGTCAAACCAGTTCGAAGTATGGGTCAAATCCACCCACCACCTTGCGAACTCCCCGCGCCAGGGCAAGCCCCTTTGCGCGAGGAGTGGGGGGCAATTGATGAAGGAAGATTTGGCTCGACCTCGTAACCACTCAACACGTGGCAAAGGCAACAGCTCGGCACAACAGTACGCCCAAGGCGCGAGCTCCGAAAGGAGGAACCAGCGGTCCGAACTCCCCACAAGGAGCCCGAACTCTCCCTTTGACCCCGAGCCTTACGAACACAAAGGGCAACAACCCGAACTGGCCTGCCCCAGGGCAATTCGGGCCACACCTCTATCGGAACTCAAGACTTCACCTCGCACACCACTCCAGCACTTCACCCCAGGACACCGAACTGAACAACCGTACCGTACTTGACACCAAAGGAGTTCGTATCCTGAGGCGGCGCACCTGACTGACTTGGGATCTGACGCTTGACAGCCGCACTTCAACGGCCACCTGCCACCGCCATCTCCAGTTACAAAGACGGCTCCGACAAAGAGAGTAGCGGCGGTTCTGCCCCAACAGAGGTGATGACACCCGAACTGGTAGAAGTGCAGAGGTAATCATACCCGACCTGACAGAAGCTTGGGAGTGAGTGCGTGAAGTGGTTATAAAAGGCCCCCTTCCCCCCCAAGAAGAGAGGTATGTGATAACTTTTCACCGTTTGGTTTTATCTTGCCTTTGAGGAAATACAAACTTGAGCTTCGGAGCATTCTCACTGGGTTCTTCCCCGGAGATTACTCGCTTTCTCCTCCGTTTCAGGCACCTTTTGCTCCAGCCCGAGGCAAAATCGTTGACAGCTAGAACCGGCCAGATTGCGCACTATCAACACCAAAGGTGTTGTATATCGATCAGTTTAAATTTCTGGACCATTGTAAATGGAAAGTGATTTTATAGATATAAATATTTACATCATTTCTATCGAAGTTGTAATTATATCGATTATCAATGTAAAACTTAACGTAAATAAAATTTTACATTGACTTTCGATATTTAACTACACTCCATAAAAAAGGAATGAAACCTAAGAGAGAGATTCAGTATATAGCATAATTCTTTTAACCTCAAAATTTGCTCCGAGTGGAGGGATGACGACCTTAAATTCTCTAAGATACAGAGGCATATGGCATAAATAACGAAACAATTGACCGAAAAATAATTGACCAATAAACTGGAATCATAAATAACGAAACCCTTTTGTCGATGAAATCCAAGTGAATCATAAGCAAACTTAGATTGTTTACACTGGCTTAACAAAAACATACATATTTCACATTTTCAACATCTCATTCATGATGTGAACTCAACATCCTCTATACTAATGGGCCAAGAAGTTCGACGGGCCAAACACTCACCAGTTCCCAACTTTCAATTTTCACTGTGTGGATCATATGACCTTTTCTGTGTCTATCACTCTCACACTTCGCACTTACGGGAAGGCTACTCAGTGGCTACATTTAGGGCTGTCAATGGGTTGGGTTTATCTGAAGGACCTAAATCGATCAAATCAATTATAATGGTTTTTTTGAAAGATTAATTATAATGGTTTTGATTTTATGATTTTGTTCCGGTTAATAATTGAATTGGTTCTAATTCTTGATTATCTTGAACCTATTCAGACCTAGAATCAATTATTTTGTTGAATATGTATAATATTTTCTTAATTTTTTCATAATTTTTTATCATATTTTATGTTTGAAATAGTAAATTTGACAGATAAAAAATAAGATAATATTTAATTTATTAATATATAAATAATTTAATATTTTTCTATAATTTTTATTAAGATTATATTATCAAATTTAAATTTTAAATTATTATCTAAATAAACAAATATTATTTTCAATATAATCAGGTTTGGGACAGTTCTGAACCAGATAGACCCAACTATTAACTGAGACAGTTTAGGGTTTATGATGTTGCCCCAATTTATAACCGGTTTGAAACTGATTCTACCTAGACCCGACGACCCAGACCCAACCCGTTGGCAGCCCTGTTACATTTCCTCTATTTAAGAAATCCGTTGGGGATAATTCATTAACGAATCTGCTCAGAATTACAATCAGATAACAAGGTCTCACGCAGAAAATCAGCAATCGACCATGTGTACAAATGAGCAATATTGAGAGCAGTTTAGTGTTGTTATTTGTAACAAGCCCGCAAGTACTTAGTAAATGGTTTCGTGTGTCAAATGATCCACAGAAATAATATAGGATCATATTCGATTTGAATTCAAATTCGATCCGGTAAGAGTTAGACTCAGATACCTCCACTGATCCTAATAAATCAGATTTGTTAGTTATGAAATATTACATATTATATATTATTATATAATTATATATTATAGTGTATTATCATACTATATAAATAATATAATACATTATATCATTAAGCTTTTTTTTACTACAATCCAAATTGAATAAGCTATCCAATAAAACATTCGAATTCGAATTCAAATCATAATCTTGGAAATCTATTGGATTCTTATCGGATTTGGATTGGTCAGATATTTTATTGAATTGGATCAGATATGCCTTTTACCAAATCTGATCCAATCTGTTTGCAGCCCTCTTATAATATAACAAGAAATTTAAAATTCCCTCTATAACATTAATAAAAAAATTACATTTTTATTATTGTTATGGCACTTTGTTAATTCTTGAATGGAATATTGAGATAATTTTAGAAATGAAGGCCATGCGGATTATAACATTGTGGCCCGGATCTCCTACCCACAGGACATAACAACCACACATGAAGAACATCTCCATGAATGACAACATAAATAACAATAATTATAGGAAAATTTATGATTTGCTGGTTTCTTTAGGCTATGTTTGGTGTGAAGGAAAAGGTAAGGAAAGGAAGGGAAAGGTAGGAAAACCCATATAAGGTTTGTAAAGGTTTTTCTACCTTTCCTTTCCTTTCCATAATTTTTCCTTCAAATCAAACACACACTTAATGTATTGTCTCAAATCCCATACCTTAGATTGTGATAGACTCCCCCATCAAGAACATCTCCATGTATTCAACTTTTTCTTTCGCTTTGCTTATCTTATCTAGAGCTCTTGTTGAGTAAGAGAAAGAACTAATGATGAAAAAAATATGAGAATTTTCACAATAACTTTAATTATTATACATGAATAATTCAGGTTTTCAGAAATATGGGATAATAATGTGAAAATGTATCATTCTAATATAAATGTAATTGTATAATAAATGCAACTTTAATGAATTGTACACACATGTGTATGTAACATATGCTCAAAGTTTTATTCCATATTTTTTAAAAGATAGTATTAGTGTTCGCTTTCACCCAATCTTTTTACCATACATGCTATATACTTTTTACCAAAATTTTAAATCGTAGACATTAATTTCCAAAATTAGACCAAATTATGTTACATAAAACCTTTCCCCCTTAATGCATGCAGCTTTGCTTCTACGAAGGCCACTTTATATATATAATTTTAACAATTAAATAATTATTTCGATAGAGTAATTCCATTTTAATTTTTTTTAGAGAAAAAAAATAGTTCTTGGTGGTCAAAAAGCTCTAGCCGTGGTAACATCAATACAATAGACCTAGCTAAGAGTAGTTGATGTGATCTTTAGCTTTAGCTGAGGCTTCAAAATTGCTGGCTGATTGTAGTGAAGATTTGTGACTTGGGGTCAAATCCCACTGTCTCGAGGTTGAGAGGCTCATGGGGTATGGGGATCGGAGAAGTGATTTATTACCAATAAAACGCTCCCAAGATGTCTCAAAAGGGCCACTTCTGCGCACATTGGAAACATCTTCTTTCATTTATGGAGATGTTCTCAAGGTGCTACCTGTTTATAGGCCAGGTAGCTGGATGGGTTGGCCCGACCCATTTCGTCCTAAATAGGGCTTGGACAAAATTTTAAGCCTGTGGGTTCGGTCTTTAAAAGTCGGGCCTGATTATTTTTTAGGCCAGGTTCGGGCTTTCCCAAATAAACCCATCTTGAGCCTGAACTTGGTTCGATAATATTAAATATATAACAGAAATATAATATATATATATATATATATATATATATATATATATGTTAATAACACATCATGTATATTATATAATAATAAAATTATTACCCACAAAAGTATTATATATATTAAATATATAAAATATTATATAATATATAATATATTATTAATAATATATGATTAATATGTTATAAAATACCTATCAAAGTCGGGCTTTGGACTTTATATAGGACTCTGGCTCAGACCTAGTAATTTTCTATTTATAAAGAGGAAAGCCCAGCCTATGAACAGGTCTAGCTACTGCTATAATTAGTAGCTATAATGGGTTGTTGGGACAGTATTGGTAGTATTTGTTAGTAGATCTATACTTGGAGGACGTATAGTTATGAGGATCTGCTGCCAACACAAACTGTCCCAACAAAATTCTAACATGATCTATGTGCAACTGTAGCAATAAGCTGAATAAATTAAATAAACCAAGCCACAAAGTAAGGCTAATTTTGGGATTTCATAGATACTAATAATAGAAGTCTCAGACTATCCACAAATGGGTTGTCGTGTTACACGATAGTTGACCAACCAAAAATGCGTATAACCATAACCATGATAATCCTCCCGAGTAGTTCCTACGACTCTACTCCAACAGTTCTGCTCGACCAATTGCCCTCCCTTACAAAATCCCATTGCATATAGAGAAGCATTCACCCCTCTCGCAATCAAACTCCTCAAATCTACTCTTCTTGATCATCATCTTCTCTCTGTCTCTGCTTTCTATCTTTCGTCGTCCGTCCTTGGATTTCCTGAGTCTGTGTTAACTCAGAGCCATGTTACCAAGAAATGGCGGAACTCCCCTTCTGCCGGAAGGAAGCCGAGATGCTAGTTATCACCTGCAAATAGAATTCCAACCCAAAGCCAGCGCCGAAGCTGGTGTCATGAACTCTCAGTCTGGATATTCTAAGTGCTTCGATGACGATGGCCGCCTGAAGCGGACAGATAAATCTAAGATTTTAAGTTTTAACGTAAGGTTTAATGCATGGATCGATGCTTAGAGCTTCCAAATAATACTCTGACTCCGGAGTCTGGACGAGACCAGAAACACAAACAAAACTTAATTTCTTCTTATAATTACACCGAGTGATAGATTCAAGAGCTGGCGTACGTTGATCTAATTAATAGGTACTTGGGTTACTTGGGTGGTGATGGTGCAGGTACAGTTTGGACGGCGTTTCCCACATAATCACGGCCGTGATAGGGTCTGGTGTCCTTTCGTTGGCTTGGGCTATTGGGCAGCTCGGTTGGGTTGCTGGACCCGCAGTCATGGTGCTCTTTGCCTTTGTCATTTTCTACACTTCAAACCTCCTATCTCAGTGTTACAGATCGGTTGACCCTGCAACAGGAAAAAGAAATTATACCTACATGGATGCTGTCAAGGCCAACTTAGGTAGTTAACTTAGCATTTTTTTGCCATTTGGCAACATTTAATCAAAAGTTACAATACTATTTGAGAATATCTTATAAGCTGCAAATCCCCATGACAAAGGCAAATGCTAACTCCACTATTGGAGTGGGGAGCAGGTTGAGTTGAGCCATACTTTTAGGCCAATAGCTCACCATTTTATCAATAAATCTCTGCCAAATGAAAGGTTCCTAAGTTGTCTGGAACTCTCAGGATCTACTACTTCTACCTCAACTACCAACAAGAACACTCACTACTAATTAACCAGATGATGATGATTCATGTTATTTGTGTCCAGGGGGAAAAAAGTTTTCAATTTGTGGAGCCATTCAGTATATAAATCTGTTTGGTGTTGCAATTGGGTATACCATTGCTGCTTCAATTAGCATGATGTGAGTTCTTTTTTTGTCTCTATCTCTCTCTCTCTCTTCAGTCGTCTTCTTCAATCAGCATGATGTGAGTTCTATTTTGTTCTTGCGTTGTTAAGGGCAATAAAGAGGTCCAATTGTTTCCATAAGAGCGGAGGGAAAGATCCATGTCACATGTCAAGCAATGAATACATGATCGCGTTTGGAATTACAGAGGTGGTGTTTTCTCAGAACCCAGATTTTGACCAAGTATGGTGGCTCTCTATAGTCGCAGCAGTCATGTCCTTCACCTACTCTACCGTTGGCCTTAGTCTAGGCATCGCCAAGGTTGCAGGTATGGATGCATGGATTATATGTCATAACCTAACCTACGTTTATACATAAATGGTGTGAGAGAATAGAAACTTATTCAGGGACGTCACTTAAACGGTTTAAGCTTTTAAGTTGAATGATTTCTTAACATGGTATCAGAGCCTGGACGGCATCTAATAGCTTAAACTTTTGCTTGAAAATTTGTAATTTCATGAAAACTAATATAAACAATTTACAGAGAACAAGGGCTTCAAAGGGAGCCTGATGGGTATTAGCATAGGGAAAGTGACTGGAACCCAGAAGATGTGGAGGAGTTTGCAAGCTCTAGGAGCCATTGCCTTCGCGTATTCTTACTCCTTCATCCTCATAGAGATTCAGGTACGTAATTGAAGCAAAATTTGGATCGAGATCGGTGATCGATGCTACAGCTTATATACCATCCCTTAGCTAGCCTTACTAATTAATTAGATGATGATGATGGCTTGGGCAATCAGGACACACTGAAATCTCCTCCCGCCGAGCACAAGACAATGAAGAAGGCTACTTTAATGAGCATCTCGGTAACTACGGTGTTCTACCTGCTCTGTGGGTGTATGGGCTATGCTGCCTTTGGAGACGACGCTCCTGGAAATCTTCTCACTGGCTTTGGATTCTACAATCCTTACAGGTTGCTTGATATTGCCAACGTTGCCATTGTCGTCTACCTCATCGGTGCATATCAGGTATATATATGATTACTATACTAATTATCTGTCCAATTCCCACTGGACACGTGGCATACCTGAAAGACAACCTTGTTATTTGATAGGCCCAGGGGACTGGGACATCTTTGGTATTTCGCCCTTAGCTTTTATGGCCAATTTTCCTTTGGCTGCAGTGCAAATTTATTTGCACTAGTACAAATGCATGGGAGTGCAGATGAAAAAAATACAAATTCTCATTTAAATCTGTTTTGGGTTTTACTTTACACTGTTTCATGATTTACTGGCTTCATTTATATTGCAATCAAATAAAAAAAGCTAACATTTGAAACAAAAATAGGTCTAAATTTACATTCATATCATTTTGCACTTCCATGATTTTGCATCAGTGCAAATTTATTTGTGTTGCAACCAAACACAGCATTAAGGATGCTACCACTGCAGCTGAGCTCTGGGCTCTTTTAATGCGGGAGTAACACTTGGAATCTGTTCTTCACAGACCGCTCCTCACACTGACATCACAATCACATCCCACAGTGTATTGGGAGTATCTCCTATGAATAAAGTTGGTATTCTTGATGTGTGGCAGGAACATTACTTCTGTAAAGTTGGTGTGAGAAGCAGATACGATCTTCCATCCTCAGCCTAATCACCTAGAAGTTTCCGAATTACCCTTATATTAATTTCTTTTTTTTTTTTAATTCTTGTATGATGATCGATATATCGAAAATTGAAAATAAAAAAAAAAGATTAAAAGGAAACCAAATGCAGGTCTACTGCCAGCCCCTATCTGCATTTGTGGAGAAATGGAGTGTAAAGAAGTGGCCCAGGAGTGAGTTCATAGGGAAGGAATTCGAGGTGCCCATCCCTTGGTATGGATGCTATAAGCTCAACCTCTTCAGGCTGGTGTGGAGGACGATATTCGTGGCAGTAACCACAGTTAAAGCGATGCTCATGCCCTTCTTCAATGTCGTGGTGGGAATCATGGGTGCGTTTGGGTTCTGGCCATTGACCGTCTACTTCCCCATCGAGATGTACATCGCCCAGAAGAAGATTGAGAAATGGACAGCGAGATGGGTTGGGCTTCAAATATTGAGCTTCACTTGTGTGATTGATTAGTTATTTGGGTATAGAGAGAGAGAAAGAGAGTAAAGAGAGTACATGGCTTATGGCTACGTGCTGTCATGCTGATGATTAACAATAAAGGATGGTCACTTTCCACCATGTTCCTTCTACTTTTTCCTGTGGTAATAAGTTGTAAACGTAGCTTGTAAGTTAACTTAAAGATCCCGCTCGCAGTTGTGCTACGTGACATGGACTTATATCTCATAATAAAGGAACATGACTTTTTACCCAAAAATTGTTAATATATATTAGGATGCGCAATCTGTTCACTCCCTCGGTTCGAATAAGGTTTTGATTTGATAGCGTCGAGTTGCATAGTTGAATTAGTGTTTGTATGTTCGAGCTGTAAAGAGCCGTAAAGAATGAAGGATTAGAGTGCATGGATAGGTTTTACCTAAGTGAACACTCTGATGCTTAAGTCAGCATGGGAAATTTTATGAGAATGTGTGAGAGAGCTTAAGTGCTTTAGTTCGCATATCTCTTTTTTGTGGATTTAAGGTCCTTTTATAGTTATCTAAAGTTCAGGTGCTATCAGGCAACGTCTCTGAGTCTCCTGCAGAGCTGTTTCCGTAGTTTAAGGTGTACTGGCACATCAGTTGCTAAATTTGCTCGGCGGTAACAGGTCGCGTGCGGGTCTTGTGGCGCACGGTTCGGTGAGCTACTCCTAAGGTTGCAGTAACGATGCCCGCGGGGGCGTGTCACACAAAACGATTTAGACGGGCTCGTGTTGACGACGGCCCAAGCTCGCCCCAGCTCGGCTGCTCACCTGATGTTGGGTGCCACGTGTTGACTTGTCGAGCTGTCCTGCACACTTTGACACTGTGTTGTCAACAGCGTCCATTTGCCATTAGTTGAGCAGGGGTGACCAAAATGCCCTTCATCAATTGCCCCCGACTCTCAAGCTACTGTTTAGCTGGCGAAGAGAGTAGGACCTTCTAGGGCATTTTTGGTCTCCTCGCTTTTGTCGGTGGTTCAGTTCGCCTGGTTTGGGCTTGGCCGAACCGCTTCTTCTAAAATCTTCTAGAGTTTGGAGAGAGGGCGGTGGCTTGGTGTGTGTGGCGTCCGTGGCGGGTGGTTTAAATTTAAACATGCGCTTAAATTCAAAATTGAGCGCACACGCGCTCATTTTTTAATTTTTTAATTGGTGCGCTTAAAGATTGAGCTCGCGCGCCAGATTCTTACTGTTGCCAAGCGGTCTCGCACTTGTGCTGTTGGATTCTTGGCAGCGTGTCTCTGCCAGCTGCAGTTTCCATCTAGGTCGTCGATTCTGTCCCCCGCGAGCTATAAATATGGGGCTTCTTGTGAGGTCCCCACATACTCATTGTTTTTGGATTTTTCCGAAGGAGGAGGGCGGTCTGCGAGTTAGTCTCCAGTGCTGATCTGCTGAGGCGAACTCTATTTTTTGTTGGTGAGCTCCAGTTTCTCCTTACCTCGAGTGTTGTCACTGCCGTTTTCTGGTTCCCCTTCATTTTTCTGGTGAGTATTTTTGTTTTTTCGCCATGTCTCATTGTTTTGTTGAAGATAGCCATCCAGCGGTAGGTCGGATGATGAATCGAGCTCGTCCGATGAGGGTTCATACGAGGTCTATTTTGATGGTGCCCTAATGGACAAGAGGGAGGAGGTAGAGGCTGTGGTAGGTATGTTTGAGTCGACCAGGTATCGTTGGACCGAGCCTGCTACTAGTCATTATCCTTGGGACCACAACTGGGAGGGGTTGTGTGTCTGTGAGGAATCATTGGCAGTTGGTCTCCACTTCCCCCTTCACCCGTTTATTACCGTTGTGTTGAGACACTACAGGGTATCACTAGGTTAGCTCACCCTGAATGGGGTCAGAACGCTGGTATGGCTGATCGGTTTGTGCCACAACCAGGGCTTCCCTTTGAGTCTTGAGGCGTTTTCGTGTTAAGTTCAGATGAAAAGAATTGCTGGCCCATTCTGTTTCTACCTTCCCTTCCGTAGTGGGAGGAAAATCTTTGATTTCCCTAACAAGGTTAGGGGCTGAAAGAAAAGGTTCTTTTTCCTTAAGAAGGATGGTGGTTGGGATGTCGACACTGCCTGGTACAGTAGTAGCTAGAAAGTTGCTGAGTGTAGGGACGCCGAGCTACAGGCTCCTGTCTAGTAGCTCATCCAGGAACGAGTTAGGATTGACGAGTCTAATGAAGGGATAGGAGATCATCATATGGATGGTCGAACCCTACAGTAAGATTGGGCGAAATTTCAAAAATTTCTTTCTCTCCCATTTGGGAATCGTATTCCCTAATTTAGAAAACTGCATTTTCAAGGTTCGTTCTTGAATCCAAAAATGGACAAGATCTGAAACCAAAAGAGAATGAGGGATATACCTGATACGAAGTAATAGTAACTCCCAACGCAGGTGTTCACGCCCAAAGAAAAGACCAAAACCCGCTTCCACTAAAGATGACACAGTGTGTAGTGAAGTAGGATCAGTAGGATGGTTCTTCAGCAAGAACCTAAATTCTTCAGCAAGAATCAAGCAAGGGCTGGTGAGCACAACTTCAGATTGTTTCTTCTACCAAGAAACAATATCAAGAACCTTTCTTGATCAGATCCACAAGTGGAGATCGAACTGGGTAGAGGCGGCAAGAACTGGGGAAGAATTCTGCAATTTGCTGTGATGAAAATCTAAGGAATTCGCCCCCTATTAATAGCCTTCTTGGATCAGCCTCCTAATCTAATTAGAAGAGAGTTTCCTAATCCAAATCTTATATTTGGATTTGGACTCTTAAATGGATAAGACTTATCTTATCCTTCAGCTAATTCTAATCAGTTTAAAACTGAAGTTGCCCCTTTTAATTAACTAACTTAAGCCTTGTTCCAATTGGGCTTTAGGCCCATTAAGCTTATGTGCTCACTTGCTCTTTAATTTGCTGCCAACTTAGCTCTCTTTGTATGGCGTGGGACCCTAACATTGATCTACATATTAGCCGCATGGATTTTAGCTCAGCCTCTATTACAAAGCCTGGTCGAATTCACTCTATGAGACAGTGAACTCCTGGGTCCATCACCATGGACTCTTAATGGACCCAACAATTATAGTAAATGGTTCTTGGATCCAGACACCTTATGAAAATCCAAGAGTTGTGGGAAGATGCAAGATTAGCCCATCAAGTATTACCCTCAATGGTCTTACACTTAACTTCTCAGCCCTTAATGATCAAACACTGTCCGACAAGAGATGACCTCTCCCTTGGTTGCAAGGTGCAATGTTGCACTCTCTACTCACAAGGATCTCGGGAATTAAAACCTTTTGCAAACAATTTGTTAAACCATAATATATAAGTATATATATATATATATACATTATATATATA